TGAGCATAATCATATCCAATAATTTCAGAGATCAACATGTGTATTATTTAATTAAAAATAGCTAAAGACTTGGAGAGAATGTAATGAATACAACTGAACAGACAAGACATAAATTGAGGATACCTTGAAAGATATCTAGAAAAGGCTAATTTCACTGTGCATTCGGAATTTACAACTTGTATCCAGATGATACGCATAGAATTCTAGTTTATAAAAAGAAAATACTACCATAGGCATATGTTCAACCTTACACCAAACTCGATGTTTGCCCGTCCATTGAAAACCCTGAGGAGACACGGGAAACAGCACAGGAATGTAGAAATTCTGAGGTTTCTCTTTGGTTTGTTTCTGGTTTAGTATGTGCAACATGCCCAAAGTGGTAGTTTTGTCTTCTATTTTTAGGACAGTTTTTCCACCCCATTGATTTCACCATACTTGAAATTCATCCTGGGCCTGATCCCAAGAAACCAGATGCCACAATGATTGTTAAAAACAATGAACTGACAGTAACAAGGTAAGAAAGAATTAAGTCCTTAGCAAAGACTTGGGGCATATTACCTTGTCAAAGTGCAGTTTCTGCTTCGATACTCCCATGACTGCATTTTCCCTTTCAGGGGCTGGCAGAAGGATTACAGAAGAGATCCTAAGCAGGGCGTTGATGTTCCTTGCTGGTTTGTTCATAACAATGGAGCTGGGCTGATAGATGGTGTTCATATGGACTATATTGTTCCTAGTCTGTTTTAAACAACTACAGCTTCCTCCAGATCCATGGGTATCCAGAGTATTTGTCTGAAAGAATCATATTTTTCAATGTTTAACTATTAAAAATAGATAAGCTTGCCGTGTTTGGCAAGGCCAAGATATGACAGATTCTCACAGAGAATTTTACTGCATGTTTGATTGAATCTTAAGTGCTAAGCAGCTATTTTGCTCGTGCGCACAGACATCACTCATCCCCTGAAATATCCCTCTTTTTTACTGAATTAATGTACTAGTTTTAAAATTCTGACTTAAAATGTTACTTTGTAAAACATAACAGAAACATTCTGTCCAATTTTAAATCAATAACTGAGTGTCAGGAGTGATTTAAATAAAAGCATCAGTACTTAATGCCTTGTTCTGTTATTCCAACAGCTACCAATGTTTTAATTCCTGTTTCACAGAGCCCAGGATGCCAGATGCATTTTGAAATTCCTCACAAGAGGGCAGCTGGCAGACCAGCACGTATTTCAGGATCATTCAGTAGTACTTAAAACCATCTGACCACTTGACTGCGTAATGCTGAGCACTGGTGCAGTGCCATCACTCGAGGTGACTGTTAGCATCCAGAACTTCTGTATTTTCCTATTTTAATTTGAACCTAAATTTTGAATGCCCAGATCTTTACAAATTAATGAAATACCACAGTTCCAAGCAGCACTCAGGTGTAAGTAATAGTAGCTGTCTTTTGGTGTAAGACCCTTTACTGAAATGCCATTACTGTCTTCCAGTAAAATGCCTCCCTCTGTTCACATAACAGAATTTATCTACATACTTCAGGACAAGAAGTGTCCCATTTATTTATATACTCATTTTGTACTGGAAGAAATCGTAAACTATTAGTTCTAAAGAAAAAAAAAAAAAAGGCAGATTTCTTATTTACTTCAAATTACTTATTTTCTTTTAATCAAATCAGTCGTAGCAAGGCAACTGTGGTCTCACATGGCAGAGTAGAAAATTTCCCTACTGTTACACGACAAGGAGAGAAAGTCAGCATGTGGGAAACTGGAATGCACACACACAAGGAAAGAGGAGTGTAGTGGGAAAAACAGAGATGACATGAGATGTGATGGGTTAAATTGAAAAAACAAATGTAGAGGTGAACAGACATGCAAAAGAAAAATCAGAGAGGGAAAAAATAGAGGAAAAATATACTTACTGTTAATTTCATGGGAGAGGTAGGCCTTCTCCAGGAACAAAATCCTTTACTAAAAGCATGTTTTGTAGAAGAAAAAAAAAAAAATTCTTGTGGGGAGTGGGCGTGGGTGTCACAGTGGCTAGATAGCTCTGCCTGCTCGATTCAGGCAAAAACGATGAAAGAAAACATCAGTTTCTACAGGGGGTAATAAATTACTGAAAAATGAAGAAGGCAGGGAAAGAAACAAGAAAGAGTGAGAGAAGACCAGAAGATTGAAACTAGTAAGGTTAAGGTCATATGGTTCTGAATTTTTATTCTAAGACAATGAATTAGATGGAATTAAATAAAATAAAGCAATGATCCATTTTGGATCTGGAGATAGGAGCTGTGGGACTGCCCATCCAGGCTGGTCCCCTATTTGCTCCATTAAAACAAAAATCCACAGCAGTGGACAGCAGATCTTGATCTACCTGGCTGCAAAGCTTAGGCACAAGGCAATATTGGGCGCAGCCTCAGCCAGAGGGATGTTTAATTTGGGGGGATGAGGCAAATCTGTGGAGGTGGCAGGAGTCTCGTTGGCTGTGACTGAATCGTCAGCCAGAAGTTGGCCTCAGAGGCTGTAGTCTGCCTTCATGTGGCTTCTGTGGCAGCCTGAGAAACTCTCACTTGCACTGGCAGAGACAGAAAAATCCCCTTTTTCATATGTAGTTCTTCCAAGATTCCTGCAACCTAGGAGTCAACTGCAAATGTAGCTGAAGGTAATAAAAAGGGGAGAGAGAAGCAGCAGGCAGATGCTTACAGTTAGATAAAAATTTTACTCTACCACCACCTGTTAAAATGCTGGTTAACAGAGAAGAGTGAGAGACATACTGTGCGTTCTGCATTGGAATTAGAAATTGTAGAATGCAAAATATCCATTATTGTGTCTGCCTTCAGCTTCTTGAGCAAGGGAATTGGAGCGTAGGAAATCAGAAACCCGTCAGAACTCACCTCGGTTCTTGGAAAGGGCAGGAGGAGGGTGACTAAACAACAAATTAAGACACAATTCAAGTGAAAGAGAGTGAAATGGAACATAATTCTGGAATGGAAAGCACACATGCAGAGAGGAAGAAGCACTACAGAAAGGATTTGGGAGTCACAGGAGCCAGGCACACCAGCGACATCGGGCTGCCACAGGAAAGACAGAGATCCCTGTGGGGGCAGCTGGCGAGCGCCTCTTGTAAGACCTGAGAGGCTCCATCAGCCGGGGCGGCCGCGGGTGCAGTCCCTGTGGAAGTCTGGGCACAGCACCTCAACGCAGACAAATTGGGTGCAGCCGGAGGAGAGGAACAGCTTTGCAGAGGAGTCGTAGGAAGCGGGGGAAAAACCCAACAATGTAAAAAGTTGCTGTGAGGAAGGCTGACATCTGGTTTTCCTCCCATCCATCAAGGTGAGCAGGATCTGCTTCTTTGCAGGAAGGGAGAATTGCATTAAAAGGGCAACAGGCTGTGTGGGGCGTTTGGGGAACCTCCAGCACTGGACGGTTCAGTGGTTGGGTTAGAAGAGCAAGAAGAACTGTCTCCACACACCTGAGTCTCAGTAAAGCAGAGGGGACGGGTGAAAGATGCCCTCCAGCCATGCCTCACTGCTCCCTATTCCAGTGCCATTTGCTGTCCCTGCAGGTGACAGGCAGGTGGAGGAGGCCATGTGTAGGCACTCTGTAACTGAAAGCAGGGAATTTTTACCTTGCGGTAAGTCCGCTGATAAAACCTAGCATCAACAGCATGCGATTCAAAACCCAAGTTCATTTAGAATGGAAATAATCTCCTACTTTTCAAATTGGTGAGGCTGTTTATGATGTGGTGATCAAGCAATCTGGTGTTTCCAGATTCCAAACTCCATATTGTCTGTCGTGTAATTTGTCCAGCCAAATCCGCATCTTGAAAGTACAAGCAATTCACGCAAACGTATCTTGGCATCACGTCCACACAGCTCTTTCAAAAAACAGGCTTCTAATTACACAGTTTGCTTTATCTTACTGACTTTGGCAAGAAATTGCTTCTCTTTTAGTACATTGCTTTAAAATAATAAGGTTTTTCCAGTTACATATTATTGGCAGGATAGAAAGCAACTTTTGTTAAACCTTCTACAATGCCGGCATATTTATGTGTTCAAAGATACACAGGGACTGAAATTCTAAAACACAAAACCATTTTGGAATTAAAATTTATGAAAAAAACTGAAGACTAAAACTACACATTGCATTCCACGGGCAGAAGCTTCTGTGTGTACGATTCCTCTGAAACATTACCTCCCTGCACCACATGTTTTGAATTCCTCGTTATTTGTAAAACATCCTCCAATGTTTGCAAAACGTTGTATGGAAGGTGCCAAAAAAAGCCGCAAAATTTCAGGGTTGAAATGCTGCCTTTTGCAACAAGTCCGAGGCCCATTTTGCAACACGTCAATGTCTGTTTTTCAGACATTTTCAGACATTTTCATATATTTTTAAAGCAGAGCCTCAGAAACTTTTCAACAATGACCGGGACTGCAGCCAGCGTGGGTTGCCATCCTCGCTCGTGGTCCTATTGCTAATTTCATCAGCTTTGAACATTGCTACAGAACAATCCCCGAAGAACCCTAATACCACAAGGCTGCTTTTTCCTCTCAAGATAAAGAGAAATGATAAACTAACAGTGCATTAAACTTCATCCTCTTCGTACAAAACACGTAGTTCACAAACATTGTCATTTGTAACCGGGTAGAGTCTGTATTTTAGAAATCTGTTACTGTTTGCATGACACATTTGTTGGGCTGGATGATGCCACCACTTATTTTTATTTGAAAACCTAAGTCTGTGCGTCCATATCAAACTGTGAGCTGATAAAGTCAATTTTATTTAGTTCATTCACAACCAGATTGAGTATTATAAACCCTTGTAAAGTAGTGAACAAGCAAGCACGTTCTCATCTTGAAAGTATAATTATTTCAAGGTAAAACATTTGTGACATTTATCTATAGTAACAGGTAAGGCTTTAACTGTGTGGTTTTCTTGATGAGAGAAAATAACAAAAAAAATTGGAAGAGCACTGTTTGCACAGTTTTCTTTCCCAGAATACTCTTTTTAAGGAGTTACATCTATTGACCAGCAGGGAACAGGATCACTGGTTGACCCAAGCCTGTAATCTTTCTTGTATTGCCTGAAACAAAATCAAAAGAAGAAAAAGTTGTGATAAAATAACCAAAGGGCAGGCCCAGAATCGACCTTACGTTTGCAGATGGTACCAGGAGTCTGCGGGCCTGTGTGCGGGCAGAGCTGGCCCCTCTCCACTCCTAGAGCTGGAGGCAGCGGTGATGGGGACAGTGAGCAGGAACTACATGCTCACAGCATTTCTTCTAGATCTCAGCAACTTGCTAAAAGCAACTGGAGTGTAAGCATTTTTTCTCATGGTGAATCCAGCTGAGGAAACACCTTCCCTCTATCCATGAACCTTACTTTATTTGGCATTTTTTAATGCAAACCATAGCCCCAGGGTATGATTTCTTCCCCTCACCCCCATGAAAGAGGAGCCTTGAGCCTTGTAGGATCGCTCAACAAGCAACAAATTCAGGCTATTAGGAAAAAATCTAAGCACAAATTCCTATTATTTACACCAAATGGGTGTAGTCTTACAGACAAACACTCCCTTGGTTTAATTTCTTTTGATCGCTGGTATGAGCTGATAAAATAAACCTTGAAGCATCTACATCACTCACCCTTACTCTGTATCTGTTACCTGGTAACTTTGTGCTCAGATCCAGACACACTGAGGAGTCTTTCACCTGCTCCATGATTGATGTTGGAATTATTCTCAAATTGTGCTTTTGAATAAAATTGACCTAAGCAAGAGACACACAAACTATTTAAAAATACAAAACATCTGACTGTTGTTTTTCATTTAACCCAAAGGGCAGCTATGACACAAGGAAAGCAGCCATCTACCTCAAAAAGCAAACAAACAAAAAAACCCACATTTGGAAGCTCCCTTAGTAAATTAAGAAAATTCCCATGTTTCAGCTGTGATCTCCTGTTACCCCTAACACTCCTCCACAGAGAGATTCAGCCTCGCTCTGATGGGTTTTCACTTTTTTTCCTGTTTTTTAGAGTATGCAGACTCTCTCTTTCCAAAGTTTTTGAAACAACTTTAACTTTAGTCTCATCAGGATTTTTGGAGTTGAGATGTTTAGGACCAGTTGGCTTTCATTTCCTAACCCCGATTGTTTACCATTTTATGTCCATTATTTATAGTCCATTATTTGACATCAAATTAATTTGCTGCATAAATTATGTCATTCCACAGCACTGTTGAGATTAAGCCCAAATATTATTTTGCTCTTAAAATGTTAACGTTTTCTAAACCCATAATAGTCTATTTAGGCTTGTACCACCGGTGAGCGGAAAAGCATTTCAAGGGTAAGACCTCTCTCCTCTTTGCAGAGCAGGGTCTGGATTGCTGTGCAGCAGAAGGTGATGTTAGATGTCTGAAAAGAATAAATTAAATGTAAAGTTTTTCTAGACCCCCCCTGAATTTCAGCATTCCTGTCGCCTTGCCTGCCCACTGATTTTCGTGAGAGCTTGTCAGGACCCGGGGAAGCAAAATCTGAACGGAGGCTTATGATGTGGCTCAAAAAACCCCGCCATGTTCTCATTGCAGGAGCTTAGCGACAAGAACATTATTCTTTGTTGTATACATCTGTAATGATACATACCCAGAACTCCACTGACTTTGTCAGAAAAGTGGTCGGTGTTCAAGAAATACAGCCCAAGGAAATCGTCTGGAAACTTCACAAAGGAAATTTTTACTGTGACCGTATCAGACAACGATGCTGTAACGCTCCTTTCCTTTTCAACTGAGACTCTCAGCCTAGGAAGTAAACAACGACTTTATTCCACAAAGAATACAAAGTCAGAATAGACATTTAACTAGCTGACATTAATAAATCAAAACAATTTAATTTTTGCCTTGTGTCTTTGCAATTGTGGTGGGTTTTTTTGTGATCTTTTGGTGGTTATTTTTAAGCTAGAAAATATTAAGTAGCATATTGTTTCTCTCTATGCTACACAACAGATCTTTCCCATCTCTGGTGTATTTGCATGTAACCTGATAAGAACATTTTCTGATGAAAACATCTTATTATCCATAATGAGAAGAAATGCTTGGCTGGGGAAAAAAAAAAGAATATTTTCTCATCATTTTAATGAGAAAAAGTGTAGAGTAGATAAAATAATTCCATCTGTTTTGAAAACAAGTCAAATACTTTTTCTTTGCTATTTAACAGTTTTTTTCAGATCCTGCCTTCCTCCTAACCCATTAATTTTATTTTGGGTGCAGGTGGGCTTGCAGAACACAAACATCCACTGCCATTTTTCCCCCTTGCAGACCAGGTTAGACAAAAAACACACCCGCACGCGCTGGCGTACGAAGCGCTGCGGCTGCAAGGGCTCGGGTGCTGGTTTGAAGCAGGAGGATCATTCTGCCCAGCAGACAATGAATTGTAGAGGGGCATAAATCCAGCATGTTCTTGGCTCCATTTAGATTACAAAAATAATTGAAAGCAGTTGTTTTAGAACTTCTGTTATTGTTATTCCCAGACCAACAGCAGATCCTCTCGGAGGTTTATTCTGGCACTGCAAATCAAGCTGGTGGAACCTTGCTAAGTTCACCTCTTTCTTGTGGTAGTGAGGATCTTGCTCTAATTAGTCTGACAAATGAAGTCTGCATTTAAATGACTCTCTCTCCAACAGCAGGCATTCAGTTACAGACAGCTCTTCAAACACTTCATGCCTTCCCATAAAAAACGGCAGCTGCCCAGATGTGAGTTATTGCTAAAACTGAGACAGAAAACTTCAGCCTGTGTGGAGCCAACTGATGTATAAAAGAGACAGCAAATGTCAAAGCCATCGCTTCGCAGCACTCGCTCTGCAGCTGGAGGAGCACAAAGCGCCTGGTGGCAGCCAGCACGGCGGTGGCACAGGGGCTGCTACGTGCTGCCGTGGGTCCTTTTCTTTGGAAGAGAAACGTTCTGCCTCTAACATCGATGCAGAAAGGCAGGCTGGTGGTGCAGTTTTGATTCTCTCACTTAGGCATAGAGAACTAAAAATCAAACCTTTTTCATTCTCTGTATTTGAAATGGGGGATTGTGAAGGTACCCTGCTTCTGCTCTCGTCGAGTTACTCACCGGATAAGAATATTTGGAAGCACTTACTTGAAGTAAATGCAAAAGTGGAGGCCTGGATGAAAAAAGATGTGACACGTGATTCCAAGTTTGGGAAAGGATAGGGTGACGTTTCTTACCCCTGGACAGCGGAGTTGGCTGACTCTGTCCATGGCAGCCGGGTGCTCTCGTTATTGTGGCTTAAGACGATCTCATCCGTGGAGACATGGATTTGCACGGGGGGATTCACGTAGTTAATTTCAAACTGCACAAAGTGATTTATTCTGTCTCCGAGTTTCCCCGTCACCGTGAGTCCTTTAATAACATTAACACAAATCTGTCAAGTGACTGTGCTTTTAAGGTACGAGTGATCTTAATAGAACTGCTTCAGCTTTGTTGCTGAAAAAAGCTTCGGGGCCTCAAATCTAGTTTTGGGAGGCATAACACCCCGGATTTCAGCTCCACATGCCCCAAGGCTGCAGTAGGGTCACCAGAGTCTGTTTACCTCTACATTGCCACTTGGTTTCACAGAGGTGGCTCTGCTCCATAATCAGAGCAGCTGACAACCACCTCCTGGGGCCATGGCTCACCTGAGAACAGGACCACAGGAAACCGCAGCACGTCAAGAGCGTGCATCATTCCATTGGCATGTAGGAGCCATGCGGTTTAAGGTCTCTGCATCCTCAGAAGCCTCCAAGGGCTGAGCAGGGGAAAAGCCTAAAGGCCATGGATGTGACACTAGGAGGAGAAGGAGGTGACCCACAACCAGCCCTGTGAGAAATGCCCTCAGCTGTTGCTCAGTGAAAGTTAGTATTGCCTAATAGAAAGGAAGAATTAACCACAGCCTCTCCAGGCAAGGCACCAGGTATGACGTGGCCCTTCTCAGAAGGGGGTTATTCCCAAAGAATATCACCAACTGCTCATAGACCAAAGTGACTCACCTTGTCCTTGGTATCGCAGGTAATCTGGCTCACTCACCTTGCTCCGGATCCGACAGCAGGTGGACAGAGGGCTGCGTTTTCCCTTCAGTATTTAAACAGATTATTTCATTTTGTTTGGGTAATTGCAGGAGAAGCTGTGGATATTCGTTGGCTGAAAAGCCAGAAGCACAATGTTAGCATGCAAATAAAAATCTAGCCTGTACCCTTCGGATAGGCAAAGCAAAATTAATCAATTTATACCTAAAACATTAGTTTATAGCTTTTATAGAATAGAATGATTAAAATCAACACAGTAATAGTTATTGTAAAGCACCCTCAGACTCAGCATCCTGATACGAATGAAAACACATTTTTAAACTTTAAACTGAGTTTATTAAGGACAATGAGCCCTGAGAGCTAAGGCTGAAGTTCTGTTCTACTACATTTCTGTTGGTTCTTATATCCTTGAGCCAGGGAGGCTTTCTCATGGGATACAGGGATATTTTGCACTTATGTGGAAAGAACTAGCAAAGGTTTGCAGGAAGAGGTAAAGGATTTTCACAGAGTTGATGCAGTCAGAAAAAAAAACATTACTGTATAAAAAACTGCACATTACAGTTATATTCATTATTAAAATGGGACTAGTATATGCATTACTTACCAAAAGGTTGTGCTCTTACGTTGTGTGTTAGCCTGTGAACTGAAATACTTCAAATTAGTAAGAAGAGTTTGATGAAACATCTTTCTCTAAGTCAGCTAATTAACCAGGAAGAACACTGTTGACAGAGACCTTTTTAGCAGAGCTTGTCACTGAGTTTTACGGAGAGCTGTGCTTAAAACCAGGTGTCCCAATGGGGAATAAAAGCACAATGTCCAGTGCCTATTTCTTTTGGGATCGACTGTGCCACTGGGGCACGCTCAGCCTGAGCTGCTGGAGGGTTTAGAGCTGCATTTTCAGCGGGCACCAAGCAGCACCGAACCCAGCACGCCCACCCCAGCGCCTCTCGCCCGCGACTGTGAGTAACTACCTACTGACAACAGCTTCTTGTTGCTGCCAGGTTTGGGCTCAGAGCGCCATCGACCTGAAATAAAAGATTTTTCCAATGTTTCGTTGGCTTGAGGTCGTGCCTTGCATCCCCCTCCCCACCCTTTAGAACAGGGGATCCCTCCTGCTCGTTGCCTACTGAATTTTTTTGGATACAGCCACGAGTGCACGTGTGCAGATGCCACGCAGGCAGCAGCCAGCGCCTTCTCCGCTCGGTGCTATGGGAGCTCGTGGCGATGCTGAGCTCTGCCTCTGCAGCGCCCTGGGATTTCCTCCCTGCAGGGCTGGCATCGTCATGGTGCAGATGGTTGTGCCCCGCATAGTCTTTACGCAGCAAACCCCAGGACTGGTAAATTTTTTAATTTTATTTTTTTTTTTTTTACACTCATTCCCTTCAGCTGAAGAATGTATGCTTTTCCATATCTTTCACATTTATTTTCAGGAGGTATAATAATTTTTTATTTCTGAAAAGGGACCAAGATTGTTTTCAAAAGTTTATAGTTCGTTATAAAATACCTGTGGACTGAAATACACACAATAAAAATGAAATTGTATATCAAGTGGGCATCCACAATCAAAATGTATTTAGTAAAGGAATGTTGTTATGAACCAACATATAAAATGAACTTTATAAAATTATTCTGAATAAAAAGAAAGGAGGAGAGCTTACCAGGAGGTGATCCAACCCTCAGTCTATAAGCATCTGGAGAAGGGACAGAGAGTATCTGTATGTTATTCATGATTTTATTACATACCTTATGGGAGGGTTTCAAACATCAAATCTATAATTCTCCAGCTGCATCTGTCTTCCTTCCCCAAAGTAAACTGTCTGCAGTAATGAAGTTCACAGAACATGAGCACTGATCCCTGCAAAATATTTCCAGCCAAAGGATGGAAATGGACAAAAACTACTAAGAACTTTTTGAGGAAGGGATTTGCAAAAAGGGATTTAATTGTCTGCGGGATGCCTGGGGCCTCATCTGCCTTGTGCATGGGGCCAGGGAGGGGGAGTGGTGGTGCCGGTGCAGCAGAGTTGCCCTTGCCTGGCACAAGGGCAGGTGCTTCTGCTGGAAGGGGGCACCTGTGACGGCAGCCTCTGCAAAGGGACCGGCTCCATGCGGAGCTACAGCACCAGCACGAGCTCACAACAGGGTCCCTCTGGAGCACTGCAGCCCTAGACAGGAGCTATTACTGACAGTTAAAAATCAGATGAGATCAACATGAGAAATTGCAGCAACATCCAAAGGAGCACATCAAAACCTCTCTTGGTCCCAGTAGCCCAGCATCCTGTTTGCCCCTTCTCCTCCCCGGCCACTCCAGCTGTGCTGGTCCATCACAATGGAGAGCAACACTGCTCAGTGATTATCTGGCAGGCAGCATCCCCAGATCCAACAGGGACATCCCTGTGCCCTCGAGCAGCCGTGCCTTCCTGACCATCGCACTGACATAGAGCTTGGCACCTGCTACGGAAACAGGTCGTGCTGCAGAGGTGGCCCCAAACTCTTCTCTTGCAGCCAAAGGGAGCTTTGAGGGAAGGGCAGTGCCAAGCCCTGCGTGCCTCCTGAGCAGGGCAGGACAGTTGCTGGGCCATGCTTCTGGTCAGGGAATTTTCTGCTGTTAAACTCCCCAGTGCCACTTTGAAACAGGTAACCTTCAGAGAAAGATGCAGCATTATAATTCCCTCAATACATTTCTGGGAAAGAAATAGAGCAAAACCAGGGCTCTTCACCTATAAAAACATTGCTTTTATGATGTATTATCGTAGGGGAGATTATCAGATTAATAATGCCGGAGGTTTAAAATTAATATTCAAACAGATCTGTTATTTCCAGAAAGAGAGGAAACAAATACCTAAATCATCCTCAGGAGTCATTCCAAAATATCTTGAGCTTAATTTCTGGACAGATGCTTTGCACACGGCAGGAAGAAGCAGAAAACATCATTAGCACTGCTCAGTTGAAGAACTATTTTTCCTTGTGAGTAAAGACAATTTTGGTCTTCGAGACTTTCCAAATGGAAGATTTTTTCCCTTTGACCATGTTATCCACCCAAACTCTGCACAGACCTTGGCAATCATTGCTTGTGTTTTGCTTTATATGCTTTTCCAAATCTCTATAGAACAACCACCATGAGCTCTTTTTGTTTTTTTCACTAGAGACTATTATGAAAATATGCTACTGGAAAAGAAGAAAACATTTACCTCCTACTGGAAAACTGCTGGGCTTCTCATTATCTAAGACAAGGAAGAGGGACAGATTAGTGTCATGCAGTCAACACTAAATCACTTTACCCATGTGTAAACCAGAAAATTGGGACAAGTGGGTGTTGGGCTTCAGGTTTTTTGTGTGTGTTAAAAGACAGATAGAGCACATGCAAGACTGCTAGAAATGGCGTGCTTTCCTTCCCTGCATTCATTTTTCCACTTTAATGCTACAGAGAAAAGTGCAGAATCCCTTTGCAGTGGCAGGAATGCTGAGTAACAACTGTTAAATTACTTCTAGTTAATATTTAAACAAATTATTTTCCATTTCAATAGTAGTGCCCATTTCACCACTGCACTTTTAAAAAAAAAATCCTGTAGGTTTTATTTTGAAACAAAGGTGATCCCTGAACTCCTGCCTCCAAGGTGGCTTATTACTGTGACACATCACTATAAAATGAACCTATACTGGAGGCCAACAACAAATCACCAATAACAGCAGCGTATTTCCAGTGGCCTGTTTGATGCCCCATTTACCAGCTTCGGTGGGTTTGTTCGCCAGCTCTGTCTGCTGCTGGCCGGCAGGTTTGGTGACCACCAGGGATGTGAGAGGCGTAACGAAGCTGTACCGCAGAGACAGCTCTAAGGCTTGCATCTCCAGGGTTTTCCGGTCCTCCTCTTGTGCTGAAATACTAAAGTCTGTGTTAATTACGAAGAAATAACATATAGAGTCTATGAGCAGGTCAGATTCTTTTTCATGTCAGCTGTCTTAAGAGATATTTTTTATTTTTGAAGGGTGAATAGTCTTATTGGGATAACTCAGCTGCTCACATGCTCAAAACAGTGGAGATGTTAAATGGTCTGCAATACTGAAGCCTATGAATGGTTCAAACACAAAAATAACAGATACGTGATCTATGAGGCGCCTATGGACATAGTTATTGTTCTCTTTACTAGCTATTGCCATTCACTTAGCTACAGGCCATATTTCTGGATGTACAACAACAGCTCAACCCAATCCATGCAATTAAAATCTATTTCACAATAATGTCATGAAGAACATTTTGTATTATGTTTTCATATGTGTATATACATATATATACACACCCCTTTAATAACACAGCGTTATCATAACTGAAAGGCATATGTTCCTCATCCAGTAATGTAGCATTCTTACAGTGCACTATGTTTTTAATACTATCTGCAGAAACATTTCTGTTTCTTTGTATTTTCCGATCACATAATTTGTGAATAAGGAATTTGCGTTTTAAGAACTTAGAAATTTGTAATACAAAAAAATTAAAATCGCTTACGATTTTTCCAGAAGCTGTTGAATGGTTAAGTAAGCCCACAGTCTCTCTATGAAATTTCCAAAGATGTAACTTTGATTTTGAAAAACTTGCTCCTTCTCTTTGACATTTGCTTCTTCTCTAAGAGTCAAGTCATGAGCATGCTGAAGTGGGAGAAAGAGGACCATCAATGGAACAGTTCCAGACTTCTTTTATAGTCACATTATTAGACTTAAAAGAACATCTTTCAGTGCCAAAGTGCCCTTTTTTTCCTTCAATTTTGTTCTGTCCCATTGGAAAATGCAACTCTAAAGTACCAAAGAAGCATTTATTTTGGATATATGACTCTGGACTCAAAATAATGTTGAAAAAAGGAGGTAATGAAATTGTTCTATGTCAACATTTTTGAGATTAATAATTCAGATTTTCTTCTTCATTCTGAAAGTGCAAACCACTTTCCTAAAAATGCTTGAAAGGCCAAAATATTATGGTTTTGAAAGGATTTGCTGTTTGCTGATTTGTGGATATACTTCAGCATTTTTCTTTAGTAGCAAATTCAGGAGGGGAAAATTGTTTGAATTCTGAAATATTTTTCCTAAAATGGGAAAACAGCTGAATGTCCAAATGCAGAGAACATATATTGCACACAAAAGACTTCTTGAAGTCTCGTATTGCACCACAAAAAACCAGAAAAGGAAATATGTTTTTCACAGTTAGTAAACTAAACACTTACTGACTGAGCTTTAATTTCTACTGGCAAAAGATCAAGATCATTGCTAATTTTTCCCGATACTATAATTTCAGATCCTTCAAAAAACAGCTTGAAATTGTTCTTGGTTAATCCCTCAATGGCATTTTCTGGATACTGCATTTCAATTTTCATTAATATTGGGGTAGCCACCTCTTGATAAAAGCCCTAAAGAGAAGCAGAGAGAGAGAGAGATTATGTGCACAAATGACCACAAAATTATGCAAAGCAATATGTTAAATGTCTAAAAACCTCTCAAAGAGAAGGGAGCAAAATTTTTTCAGCAGTGTAAGACTGCTACAAACCTAGAAAAATAAATAAATGTTTCTTCCCAGGTTTCAGCACACCTCCTCCAGCCAGGCTGGCAATGCCATTTAAACTGTATTTCCCATGCTAATTCAAGTACCCAAGCAGCATCCCTATTATCACCACCTCTCTCAGTTAGGTGTTTTGATTTAGTCACTTTTCACGTCTGATATTTTAATCCTCCAGATCAGTCAAGTTTTATCTTTCTTCTTCTGGACTGTGGCTGGCGTTAAGCAAATCCAATCTCTGCATATCCAGACAAAACAGGTAGACGTGGCTTCCCAAAAAAGAGAATGTCTCGAACAGTAAAACTTCTCCCTAGATAGACAGGGAAGACCCAGGCTGGTGGTACTGCAAAGCCAGTTTGCCTGTAGGTGCCTCAAACTACTTGCTGATTTTTAGGGAAACCATAACACACACTTTCCAATGGTGTTTCAAACTGTTTCAAGCAAAGAACCTAAAACCAACCTAAGAACAGAAGTTTTTCCACTATCACCTCCCCTAGACAATCTTTTTCTTTTTTTTTGCAGAGGTACAGAAGTGTGTGAGTTTCCAGGTTTGTCTAAATGCAGCTGATTTGAGGACTTCAACTTTGAGTCATGGTTAGGGTACAAACCCTCAGATACTCCAAAATTGCCTTCCTCTCTCCGTAAAATTATCAGAAAAACTAAATACCAACTCCTCATCTCAGGAAATCTGTGGATTTGCTGCGAAGACTAGACATAAACTGCAGCTTTTCTGGCATATTCCTTAGTCCTGACCTGGAGCTGCAAGGCTGCGTCAGCGTTTTCGTATATCCGACGTGCTATTCCCGCATTGCTCAGGGCCATTTTCTCCAGGAAGTTGTAACTGACGTCAAACCCGAAGCCCAGGCAGAAAAGAGCATATTTCCCATTGACTGCTTTCTGAATGTTTTCTTGAATGACTTCCACATTCCTCTCACCTGTAATTGAAACAAAACCAAACCCTTGTTTGGTTGGGGTTTTTTAAGTACAAAAAGACAGCAGCGGGTTTAATGGAAAATTCTGCCTGAAGTCTTTTAAAAATTATTAAGAATAAAATATTAAAAATATATGGGACACAATTCCATTAATTGAATTGGACATGAAAGCACCACTTTGCGTTTGGAGTGCCAGAACCTGATTCTCCCCCTCAGTGATTTTTACGGATTTCTACTCATGTTGTCATGGCTAAGTGCAAAATATTTTACAAGATTACAGGGGCCAGAGGAGGTTTTCAGAGGGGGCACACACTACAAGTTAGCAGTGCGAGGGATGCAAACACTTGATCAAGCGTTGGGACAACAAGTATCACCCATAAAACCTCTGTGCATGAATTCAGAGAGAAATGGATTGGTTAATGGTGTAATTCAGACAAACTGCAAATTAACTCAGCCAGGCATCTCTCTCAGTACCTTTGCGCATCAAAGGGAGGAGATTTTTCACACCATCTTCTCCCATTTGAAGAGCCGCTGACGGCCCTGTATGGAGAGCTTCTCTGTCAGCATTTCCAGGCAGGAACTGTCACTACCTGTAGCAGTATCATGGGAGCAGCTCCGATTTTTCTCTTTCAGCCTGCTTTGCCAAGGAAGGCAGCGTATGCACCAACGATGCACATATTTGCCTGGCACTGCAGTCCAACCCGACTTCTGGCCAGCTTGTGGCTGTGCAGTGTACTTGGGGGTACCTGGGACTCAGTGTGGCTGTGCTGAGCGGGCAGCACCGTGAGCTGAATTTTATTAAAAAAGAAACCCACACCAAACAAATAAACCAACCCCAAAGCAGGACAGACCACACGATCTGAAAGGCAGACTGATGGTACTAGCGAGCTGGCAGCTGAATTAATATTGCTGGTGCCACACAACACTTAGAGAAACTCCTGTGCAGAACAAGTGACATTCGTGCCGTTGCATTGGGAGTTACTGTTTATTTAAACCAGTATTTCTATCTCAGCCCTCGGCTTGTGCTATCACAGCTGATCACCAGTTAACAACTAGACATGGAAAAGAATGCAAAACAATAGGCACCTTGAAAATATCTCAAGTTTGGGGCAAGGAGGGTGAAGAAACACAAGTAATATCTCTCAAATTGGACTGTATATAATATATGCAAAATGTCTATGTTTAGACTCTAAGTATTTCGCTTTCACTTTTCAGCTGTGCCTGGAGTATCTCCAAGAATTCCCTCAAGTTTATAAACTAGGAAGCTAATGGTATTTAGCAAAACAGTTCCCAGCTAAAGAACGTGTAGCCATGGGCAGGCAGGCGTTGCCATCACTTCTTACAGCCCTTGCCAGAGCCCTCTCATAGTCATCCTCTCTGGCACAGATCCAGC